CAATGTTGCTTAGTATGCTTGTTTATTACTCTTATGCTCATGGATAGTAAGGGTATTCGTCTTATTGTCATGACTGAGTTTGTTTTATCTTTGTTGATATAATGCTTATGCCACTTATGGTTATTAGTATTATTATTTGTCATCGCATGTTGCTTCTCATGATTATTGATATTTCTCTTCTGCTTCATACTTTTTCGTTCCCCCGCCCCGGGGGGAGGCCCGCGGGGGCGGTGGGCGAGGGAGGGGCCTCGGCATCAGAGGGCCTCCAGCACCAGACCCCCGACGTCATGATTTGTCATGTCTCCCCCCAGGGCTCTCGCCCCATTCCCCAACAGCTGGCAGCTTGCCCCGAGAGTGGCCCGAGGGGCCCCCAAGAACCCTCATCCCCCTCTTCCTCCTTGTTATCCTCCTCCTCCTCCTCCTCCTCCTCCTCCTCCTCCTCCTCCTCCTCTTCCTCGTCCCCGTTGTTCCCTTCTCCTGCTCCTCCTCACCCAGCCCGCTCTCCTCCTCTCCCCAGACCCCGGACGCCATGACTTCATACTTAATTGGGCTGACCTGGCCCCCGGAAAACTTGCACGAGACTGCGGCTTGCTTTTAACATGTGGAAGATGCGCATCGAGCGCGCCATTTCACGTCGCAGCGCCAGGGGGGGGGGCATGATGCTCGCTTTTGCGCGGGCGCGACTGCGAATCTGACGACGACGACAACGACGACGACGGCAACGGCGACGAGGAGGAGGAGGACGACGACGACGACAACAAGAACAACAACACTCATTTCAAGACTGTTCGCTCTTATCTACTCGAGTGCCCGTTAACGCGTATTTCCCAAACCCTCGATGCCCGCCCTCTTCGTCTTCGATCGTACCCCTTTGGGGGGTTATACCTTTCTTCCCTGCAGGCCGGGCCCCGGCAAGCGGCGGAGCGGCCGCGGACCGTCGGCCTGGCCAGCGGCAGCGCTGATCGGTGGCAACCCGACCCCAAGAGGGACGGACAGGGGACCGACCACGACGACGACGACGACGTCGACGACGACGACGACGACGACGACGACGGCGACGACAACGACGACGACAACGAGCCAAAGCAAGAGCGAGAGAGAGAACGACAGCAGGGCCACGAAGGGCACGAAGTAGGCCACGAAGGGCAATAGCGGGGACACGAAGGGAATGCGTATGGGGCCGCGAAGAGCGCGAACGAGCGGGGGCCATGAAGGGCAGATCATGCGGGGCCACAAAGAGCAAGGACGGGGCCACTGATGGTAGCAACTGGGCCACGTAGGACAGCGAGGGGGCCACAAAGGGCGACAGCGGGGCCACGAAGGGCATGCATATGGGGCGACGACGGGCGCGAACGAGTGGGGGCCACGAAGGGCACACGTATATTGGGCCGCGAAGGGCAAAGAGGTGGCCACTGAGGGCAGCAACGGGGCCACGAAAGGCAGCGAGGGGGCCACAAAGGGCGAACCCGGGGCCACGAAGAGCATGCTTCTGGGGCCACGACGGGAGCGAACGAGCGGGGGCGACGAAGGGCATACATAAATGGGGCCACGAAACAAAGCGAGGGAGCCACGAAGGGCTTCAACGGGGCCACGAAACAAAGCGAGGGGGCCACGAAGGACTGCAACGGGGCCACGAAACAAAGCGAGGGGGCCACGAAGGGCTGCAACGGGGCCGCGAAGGGCAGCGAGGGGGCCACGAGGGGCTGCAACGGGGCCACGAAACAAAGCGAGGGGGCCACGGAGGGCTGCAACGCGGCCACGAAGGGCAGCGAGGGGGCCACGAAGGGCTGCAACGCGGCCACGAAACACAGCGAGGGGGCCACGAAGGGCTGCAACGGGGCCACACAGGGCAGCGAGGGGGCCACGAAGGGCTGCAACGGGGCCACGAAACAAAGCGAGGAGGCCACGGAGGGCTGCAACGGGGCCACGAAACAACGCGAGGGGGCCACGAAGGGCTGCAACGCGGCCGCGAAGGGCAGCGAGGGGGCCACGAGGGGCTGCAACGGGGCCACGAAACAAAGCGAGGGGGCCACGAAGGGCTGCAACGCGGCCACGAAACAAAGCGAGGGGGGCCACGAAGGGCTGCAACGCGGCCACGAAACACAGCGAGGGGGCCACGAAAGGCTGCAACGGGGCCACGAAGGGCAGCGAGGGGGCCACGAAGGGCTGCAACGGGGCCATGAAACACAGCGAGGGGGCCACGAAGGGCTGCAACGGGTCCACGAAGGGCAGCGAGGAGGCCACGAATGGCTGCAACGGGGCCACGAAGGGCAGGGAGATCCCGATTCCTAATTATCTGTGAGGGAGTCCTAAGCGTGAGCGCGACTCCTGGGTGCCTGAGTGTCGGGAATGCGGCGCCTGAGCAAATTGCGGGAAATTCCAAAGCAAGGGCGCTATTCTTGAGTGAGTTGCAAGCAAGTCTCCAGCGACAGCGCGACTCCAGAGCGCCGAGAGAATGATTCCTGAATGAATTGAAAGGAAGTCCCAAGCGAGCGCGCTACTCCTGAGTAAAATGCGAGGAAGTCTCAGGCGGGAGCGGGGGTCCTGGCAAAATTGCGGGAAAGTCTCAAGCGGGAACCGTTGTTGTTGTAACCCGGGGGCCAACAGCGCAGCTTGAGGACGAAGACTTTCCTTTATAAAACAGGGTGCGAGCGCAGGCAAGGGCACTTCATTAAAAAAACCAACATGTTTTTTCTTCGGCAAACAAATCCATCTCTCAAGAATCCGCTGCCCCTCGACGAGGCTTTCCTGAACTCCGCGCACGACGCACAGAACCTGGCAGAGAGCAAACACCAACGGCCCAGGACACGCAGGGGGAGTCCTGCGCACGTGGCCGAAATTCTGCGTGAGAGGCCACGCGGGGAAAGGGAGGGGGGATCAACAACAATTGTTCTTCAGTGTGAGAGTTCGACTCCTCCTCCTCCTCCTCCTCCTCCTCCTCCTCCTCCTCCTCCTCCTCCTCCCCTACTCCTCCTCCTCCTCATCCCCTCCCTCCTCCTCCCTCCTCCTCCTCCCCTCCTCCTCCTCCTCCTCCTCCTCCTCCTCCTCCTCCTCCTCCTCCTCCTCCTCCGCCTCCGACGACGACGACGACGACGACGAGGACGACGACGACGACAACGACCACTTCGAGGCAGCACGCGGGCGCTCCACCACGACCGCACTGGGCGCTGCAGCTTGCGGGAGGAGCACACGGCGCAAACGTGCCGCCGGCGCGCCGAGGTGGCGCGACGCAGCCCCGCCCTTGCAGGAGAGGGGCGGTGACGACGAGGAGGAGGAGGAGGAGGAGAGAGGAGGGAGGAGGAGGAGAGGAGGAGGAGGAGGAGGAGGAGGAGGAGGAGGAGGAGGAGGAGGAGGAGGAGGAGGAGGCGGAGGAGAGAGGAGGAGGAGAGAGGAGGAACAGCAGGAGGAGAGAGGAGAGAGGGGCGGTGACTGCCAGCGCCACTGCCGCGCGGGCGCCAGCGCGCGTGGGGGCGCAAAACAGCGCACCCCCACGCGCGGCGGGGGCGCCTCATCCCCGCCCGCGTGGGCACGAGATGGGAGAGGAGGAGGACGTCGACGACCGAAAGCAGCCCGCGCGCGCGAAAACACGACTCCCCGACATAGGCCGAACCGCCCTGGAGCCCCAAGCGCTCACGCTCGAGGGGGGCGGGCTCGTGGACAGAAGAGCGACGGGCGCGAACAGGGGGGATTGGCTGGAGACGGATAGGGACAGGAATGCGACAGCGGAAAGAGGATCGGCAGAAGGAAACGGCACGGAAACGAGGGCACACGCGCGGAATGGAAGTGCCAGAGAGGCCACGAAGGAGGAGGGCGCAAAGGTGTCCTGCACAGACACGCGAGCAGAGGGCGAACCCGACGGCGGGGTGGCGGAACGAGGGGCGAAAAAGAAACTCGGAGGGGGGCCACCGGCGAAGGGGCGGGGGGAGCGGGGGGGGAAAGGCTCGCTAGGAGGGGGCGGCGACGGGGGAGAGAGGGCGGCGAGGACGAGGAGGGCGCAGAAAAGGGCGACGGCGAAGAGGAACGGAGGCGGCTGGGAGAACGCGAAACAAACAACAAACACAAGCGATGACATGGAGGATGGAGGGAGAGGAGGGGGGGCGACGACGAGGACGAAAAACAAGTGGAGGAGCAAGACGGAGAACGCAAGGCCATTCGGAAGAGGGGGCAGACAGGAACGATCCAGACATGGGATGAAGGAAAGGGAAGCGTCGCGAGGCACCCGTCGGCGACCGCTTCTTCGGAGCCGCGCAGCTACGGGCCTCTCCCGAAAGGGGGGCCGTTTGGCTTCTGCGCTCGGACTTGGGCGCCGCAGGGGGAGGCTCGCAGAAGCCCAGCGGAAACAGTGAAACGATCTGCAGAAGCTTTCGGCACCGCCCCGTTGGCTTTTCAGAGGCTCATGAGAGGCCCCTTGCAAGTTCGCAGAGCGGTCATGGGGCTTGTCTGCATGAGGCCCACTTGATCACGAGGGGCTCTACAAGCTTCTGAGATGATCTCGAGAGGCTCCTGAGAAGCTACCGGGAGGCTCCCGACGTGCGTCTGAACAAGAAGGTTGTTAAGGATGGGCTTGGGCGCACCTCGCGTGGCCGAATCTCAACTCCGACCATGTTTGCGGCAGCCGCGCGCCCGCTCCGAATCTTGCCCGTCGACGTCCCCGACGGGGCTCTGCACCGCGCCGAGTGAGGGCTCCGAGCCCTGTCCGTCGGCGCCCCGAGTGGTGCTCCGCACCGTAAAAAAAAACAGGACAAACGATAACTCACCCAACTTTCGCTCAAGATTTGGCGATGCGTAACTGCCGTCTTTCGGGGCATCCTTCGGCGGCCTCTGTCAGTGGCACCTCGGCGGGGCAAGCCCGCCGCGAACGGGTGACCCGCGCGCCCGCGGCCCCGCGGACCCCGAGTCCTGGGCGCGCGACTCAAGGGCGCCGAACTCCCTTGATTCTGAGGCCAAGGCCCACGGACCCTGCGGCAGCCCAGGGCGCGCGATCCCCTCGGGCTCACTGTCTACGGGCCCGCGGTACCTGGGCACCGGAATCAAAAGCGGAAGGCTGCGGCGCTTTGCGGCGAAGGAACGGGACTTCCCGGGCCCCGCAAGGAATGGCCAGCGACTTCTGGGAATCTCATCGAAGGTCGAGGGCTCCTGGGGCGCAGAGTCAGGGGCCCGCGAAGTCCGTGGCGCGGCCCTGGGGTTAATTCGGGGGTGTCCCCCTACAGGGGGATTGTCGACGGATGAAAAACCCAAAATAATCAAAACATAATCCAAAAATTGTCTTGGGACTATGTTTTGAATTATTTGACCATTTTGGTACATTTTTGTGTGAAAAAAATTCACCCCAGATCCCCCTGTAGGGGGACACGCCCGACTTAACCCTGGGGCCCTGGGGCCCGAGACTCCTGGGTCGTTGAACGAGGAGGGCCCACGACCCGCGGGCCCTCGAGCCACGCGCACAGCTGCAGCCCCGCCCGGAGGGGTTCCAAGGGGGGCGGCGCCGCAGGATGGCCACTGAAAAGGCCTCCGGCCGCCCAGGAAGCATCTGCAGTGAACAGTGAGAGCGCTGCAACCATGGGTAACATGGCAATCGTCTAGCGCGCTTAAACTCCCTCCGGCCTGCGAGCCGCAGCCCCTGACCCAGACCGAAAGGGGACGAACAAAAACCGCAGCTGGCCGCGCCTGGCCGCCTTCGCGGGCGGGCGAGCGCAAGGCGAAGACGCCGCGCTGCCGGAGGAGGGGGGGAGGAGGAGGAGGAGGAGGAGGAGGAGGAGGAGGAGGAGGAGGAGGAGGAGGAGGAGGAGGAGGAGGAGGAGGAGGGAGGAGGAGGAGGAGGAGGAGGAGGAGGAGGAGGAGGAGAGGAGGAGGAGGGAGAGGAGGGGAGGAGGAGGAGGAGGAGGACGAGGGACGAGGGGGGAGAGGAAAAAACACGGAGAGGAGGCGCCGACATGCAAGAGAAGGGGGGGGCGGCAAAGGCAGCAGCAGGCAAGCGCGCGCGGTGGGGGCGGGCGGGGGGCGGCGGCGGCCGTCGGGGGGTCGTCGCGGGTCGTCGTGGGTCTGGGGGTCGTCGGTTGTGGTCCTGGTCGTGGTCGCGGTCGGGGGTGGTCGAGGTCGTGGTCTGGGTCAAAAGGGAAGGGGTTGCCGGGGCGGGGCGTTGGGGGTGGTCGTGTTTGCGGTCGGCTCAGGCAGCGTCGGCCGCTCTAGCCGCCGTGGCCGCTGCCAGTCTGGCCGCAGGCGCCCTGCCGGGGCCCTGCAGCCTGCGGAGCACGGCCCGCGCGTTCTCCTTCTGGAGGAGTAGCGAGGTTCGCTGGGCGTGCTCCGCCGCCACGATGGCGGGGCCCTCCCCCGTGGCGTCCGCCGCGCGCTTCGCCAGGACGGCTAACGCGCGGCGTGCCTCCTTGCCCCAAGCGCCGCCGTGCGCCCCGCCGGCCGCGCTGCAGCTGCGCGCCGTGTCGAGGAACTGGCGCTTCTGCTCATCGTAGCGCTCGGCGGCGGCGCCCGGCGCGGCTGCCGAGGCTGCAAGGAGGTCGCTCCGCAGCCCGGAGGTGGCCGCAAACTCAAGGGCTGCCGGGACGCCGTTGCGCCAGCGGGGGACGTACACGTCCGCTGGGCGCCGGCCGCTCTCGTCGAGCTCGCCGCCGTTGGTCTCCGCCCCGGGCGGGCCCTCCCCTCGCTCGCGGGGCGGCAGCAGGCCCGGCCGCTCGAGCTCGGCGCCCGGGAAGCCGGCGGCCTGCGCGGCAAAGAAGGTCTCGTCGCGCAGGAAGTCGTTCCGCTTCACGCGGACCCCGCGGTAGGGGCACACCAGCGCGCGGTCCCCGTAGACGTCCAGGACGCCGTCGCAGGCCGGGCAGAAAGCCTCCTCGCTCGCTAACTGCACCCGCAAGCGCCTCTGCAGAGCGATCTGCATCAAGCCGCGCGGGAAGGCCGTGCCGACTTCGGCGCAGGGCCGCGCCTGCAGCCAGCCGCAGGCGCCCTCCGCGCTCACCAGCGAGAGGTGGGCCCTGGTGGCGAGGCTGGCGCCCCCAAAGTTCGGCCTTGGCGGCTTTGTCCAGTTTGCCAGAGAGGCCCCGCTGGTCGCTGTGCTGGCTGGCGTCGAACTCAATCCTGTCCGCCTGCGGGAGCCGGGCGTTGTAGGATCTCTCGGCCGCGCCCAGAGCGCCGTCGGCGCCTGTGTCGTCGTCGGAGTAGCCCGCCCAGAGCTGCCGGCAGAGCGCAGAGCAGGCTGCGCGGGAGGCCAGGTAAGCGGCGGACGCGTGGCGCTCTGCTGAGCGCAGCCCCAGGCCGCCTGCCTTGAGGGCGAGCTGCGCCTGCGCCCAGGAGTCGTCCGTGGGGGAGCTGCTCGTCAGTTGCTCGAGGCTGGCGCGAACTGCGTTGTCGAGGGCAACCAGCGCCTCCGTTTGCATTATGGGCGGGACAACCCGCGCGGAGATACCGAGTCTGCAGAATCCGGCACATTGCCGCAGCAAGTGGAGCGCGACCTGGGCGTTCTCGAGATCGCCGGGGGCCTCGAGGAGCTCGGTGGCCTTGTCGACTCGCTGCTGGGTGTGCTCGCGGCAGAAGGCGTCGCTGCCGACTGCATGGCGCGCCCAGGAGTTCAAAGCAGCCGTCCGCGCGCAGGCCGAAGCCCGGGGGGAAGGCCTGCAGGTCCACCTCGCTGTCGTCGCCGCCGGTGGGGACCACCTCGCATTTCCCAGGCCCCGTGCTCAGGCGGAGTCCCACGGCCGCCAGCTCTCCTACCAGCAGGTGGAGGAGGTGCGCCACGGCGAGCCAGTCGCCCGCCAGGGTGCCGTCGTCGAGGAAGAAGGTCAGGTCCAAGGCGCCTTCGCCCGCGGGGGCTGGCTGGCGGAGAGCCCTTTCGGCAGCGCGCTGCAGCGCCAGGGAGAAGAGCAGCGGTCCCAGGGGGTCTCCTTGCTGCACGCCGCATTCCGAGCGGATCGAGTGCCGGCCAAGCCAGAGCAGGGAGGGGGCCCGGTAGCACCAGGAAGCCCAGGGCGGGCAGCAGGGAGGAGGGCTTGGCGGTGGAACGCGTTGAAGGCGTTGCTGAGGGGGGCGGTCGGTCCGCGCGCAAACGGATCATCGATGGCTCTCGGCGGTGGGCAAACCTCCCTTTAGTAGACCTCCCCTTAGTGAAAACTGCCTGGGACCGAAACCGACGGACCTGGACCCGCAAAAATGACGGCCGCGACGCCCTCGCGCGAACCGAGAACGGCCAATTCCTTAATCGACGTGTCAGGGTAGGAGGTCTGTCCACCCCCGAGGCTCCTGGGGTGGCCCACGGAACGCTCCGGGAGCCTGACCTGCTGCCCCCGCAGACGCCCCCAGGCGCACCCCAGAAGCAAGGCGGGGCAAGAACGCGGGCGCACCTGGCCCCCGATAGGGGGCCACCTGCGAACCCTACCCCTACCCCCCACGATTTCGGAGGGGGAGGGTGGGGTTCACTTCATTTGGGAGCTCCCGAGTGAAGTGAACCCACCCTCCCCCTCCGAAATCGTGGTAGGGCTCGCAGGTGGCCCCCTACCCGAAAGCACGGGGGGGGGGGCCATCAGGGCAAGCTCGACGCAGTGAGCTGAGGTAGGCTGCTGGGCGCGGGCTTCCGCGGCCCGCGCGCGGGCGCGCCCTCGCCAGGGAAGCGGCCGCGCAACGCACAGAGCCAGACCCGTTCGGCGGAGCTGCCCCCGAAAAACCACTTCGGCGCACGGGTGCCCCACTCCAGCTGGGGGAAGCTGCGGGACAACCCGCACGCCATCGAACGAGGAAGCTCCGTGGGGTGCAGTCGCCCGGATGCGCAGCACGGAGAGAGTTGGGCGCCCGAGTTATATCTGGGGCAACTCGGGTCCGGGCTAACTCGGGCTTGGATGCCCGAAAAACGAGCCCGAGTCAGCCCTGACCCGAGTTACTCCTGATGATTCGGGGTTCTGAGAGAGGAACCCAGACCCCCGACGTAATGTTTTTTTCATTACGTCGACCCCCACAGGTCCCGACCCTTTCCCTATGACCGGCTTTGCATCCTGAGTCGTTTTTCGACGCTCCCGAGGCCCGGTGAGGGCCCCCGGAGGCCGAAAATTAGGAAAAACCTCCCGTCGTGATTTTTTCATTACTCGAGGGGGTCTGGGGAAGAGTAAGTGGGCAAGAAGTAAGTGAGTGCGCAAGAAAAAATGGGGAGCGAGAGGGCCTGCTTGGACTGAGGACCATGCTTTGATCAGAAGCCGCGCCATCCTCGAGGAGCTCCGCGGCCTGCCGAAACAGCGTGGACTTCGTGGTTGAAAAGCGCCAGCAGGGCTGTCGCTATAACGAGGCCCAGCGGGGCCAGAGCGAGTCGGGGCCCGACCATGCGCTGCGGCATCGCGAACAGCAGCCCACAACGCCAGCGGAAACGCCCGCAGTAGCGACATCGAGCAACAAGCATAAGCAACCCAGAGCATGACAAAGTTCACCGAAGTTTCGTTCGGTGTGTTTTTTTGTTCAACCCGAACACTTCAGGGATCTCGACCGATTCCCTCGGGACCGGTGGTTCATTCCGGATTATTTGTCGACAGTCCCAGGGCCAGCGGGGGCTCCCAAAGGCTGGAAATAGCCAGAAACTGCCGGGCATACGATGTTCATGACGCGACGAGGTCTTGGGCCCGTCCCCCAAATGCGCTCAAGACCAGTCCCCCTGGCCCATCCCGAGCTCCATCGAGGCCAGCCTCTCCTCGCAGATGCGACGCTCGACGGCTTACGGAAACAGCCTCTTCGATCCCCCCTCGACATCGGTGTGCTCTTCTCTAAGAGGGCCGGAGAACCACCCGCAGAGTGGGAACCAATCAGGCCATGACCAGCAGACGCGCCCAAAGAAGCAATCGATCGGGAGCAAGGCTGCTCGGCAAGCGCGCGGGAAAGTACAGCAGGCGCCAACCATGGAGGTCCGGGTGGTCCTTCCTCCCTTCCCTGATCATTTGGTACTGGAATTTTCCAGTTGCGACTGGCGAGAACGGTCGCTACCGATTTTGCTTCAGATTTCGATATCGGTCGCGACCGATTTGCTTCACGGTCGCGACCAATCGGTCGCGACCGATCGGTCGCGTTCGGTGGCGATCGGTCGCGACCGATTTTGTAATCGGTCGCGACCGATTTGGGATGTCGATCGGTCGCTACCGATCGCGACCGAAAAACATCGGTATCCAATGATCTGGGTTGGTTTATGCTATTCCGGGCCTCGGCCTTCGTCTTCCCCTCCTCTGCCTCGCCATCCTTCGCGCCCTCGGCGCCCTCCTGCGGTCACTGGCCCGCCGAGATGAGAGGAGAGCTGCAACGGCGCCCACGGCGAGAAGGTTCGGCTACACGCAAGAGTGACCCTGGGTAAGAGTGACCTTTGGTGCGCGGCTCTTTGGGGGCCGCGGGGAGACCAAACCTGGGCGCGCAAGCCCCAGGTTCAGCCATCTGAGGGCCCATCTGTGCCCGCACCAAAGGTCACTCCGGCGGAAGGTCACTCTTACGTCTAATCGAAAGGTAAGGGGGCGGGGGGCCCACAAGCGGTCCGGGACGAGCACGAGGAATGAAAGGAGGGGGGCCCCTCTCAGTGCCTTCCGGAGGTGCTCGTCGGCGCCTCGAGGTCGTCTCGCCCCATCGGGGTGCAGCTCCACCAGCCGCGCATCGCCGAGGGCGCCCTGAGGGTGCCTGAATCGTCCTAGACGGCCGTTGTAGGCCCGAATTGTGAGCTGAACGCCACTCGGAGGAGGGCAACGACAACGACATCGACGACGACGACGACGCCGTCGACGACGACGACGACGACGACGACGACGACGACGACAACGACGACGACGACGGCGGCTACGACGACGACGGGCGGCGACGGCGACGAGGGTGACGAAGGCTATGGAGACAACGACGGCAGCGAACATGGCAGCGACGCAGAGAACGCCGAGGACGACGGGGGTGACGAAGACAAAGACGATGGATACGACGAAGGGGAAGATGACGACGACGATGACGACGACGACGAAGTCAGTGAAGGCGGCGGCGGCTATGGCTATGGCTACGGCTGTGGCTGTGGCTGTGACGCCGAAGGCGCAGAGAACGACCACGGCGGCGGCGCCGGCGGGGGCAGCGACGCAGGTGGCAGCGGCGTGGGCCGTCCTCCGGGGGCGCCGCGCCCTCCTGGGCTCCTGCGGGCACTGCTGATGGTGGTGGTGCTGGCGGTGGTGCTGGCGGTGGTGGTGGTGGTGCGGGCCACGAAAAAGGAGATAATGCCGGCGATGGTGGCGAAGAGCCTGAGGATGGCGATGATGAGGACGGTCATGATGATGGGGATGCTGCTGAGTAGGACGCGGAGGGCCGAAGGAGAAGGTTGAGGCGGAGGGAGGAACGAGGATGGAGCAGGATTGAAGGATTCGATGTCGGCCTCGCGCGCGCCCGCGAAGGGGCAAGTGGCCCAGGCAGAGGAACAACGCCACCAGGAACGACGACGGCGACGACAAAGCCTAGGAGGAGGAGGAGGAGGAGGAGGAGGAGGTCTAGGAGGAGGAGGAGGCCTAGGAGGAGGAGGAGGAGGAGGAGGAGGACGAGGAGGAGGAGGAGGAGGATCGAGGATCGAGGATGAGGACGGCACACGGCGCGACGACGGCGAGCGAGCGCGGCAACGCGACTTGCACGACGGCGACACCGGCAGCGGCGGCAGCGGCTCGCGCGGCGGGGCGTCCGTCGCGAGCCGCGCCCGCCGCGCCGCGCCGAGCCGGGGCCCAGAGGGTGCACCAGGCCCCGTGCACCAGAAGCTCCGCGTCTGCAGCGAGCACAGGCGTGCATGGGCACCGCTTCACCGATCCCCATGCCCAGCGGCGTGGCCCGGGCCCCACTGGCCGATGTGCCCCCCTGATTCGGATGGGGATGGAGGCCGTTCCCTTCGGGTTTCGAGGGGTGCATCCCCAAGTGGGGTGGTAATGTGGTGGGGGTCTCGAAGGGGATGGGGACGGGGATGGGGGCCAGTGAAACGATACTGAGTGTAGAGCCTGGGGGCACATGGCCTCAGTCACTAAGTCACAGATGTCCAGCGTGGGGACCGTCGCCGTGCCGAGCGAGGCGCCACTGTGTAGGTCACGCCCCTCCAATAAAAGCCAGACCCCTTCGAGAGATGCCGGAACTCACTCTTCCGTGGCAGACCCGCTGGAGGTGTGTCACAGTCATGCAACTGTAGGCCACACGTAGGCGGCAACACATATGCGAGACAAACGTGATTGAAGAATGCCCAGAACTGCGTGGAGCAGGACAGCCTCTCTTGGCAATCGCATCTTTGGTCGTGCGGGAGGCCCGACACGTGCGGCACCTATTTCTTACAAAACGCCCAACGCAGATCAGCTGGTGTTCAAAGCCCTGGGGAGGAGCCACTAGGTAGTAGGGAGGAGATCGGAGGGAAGGGGGCGTCACCCAACAATATCTTATCGCTCCGAGGTGGCATAGCCAGTTCGTGGGAACCTACAAAACCAATCTACCTCGCACCTACAAAACCAATATACTTCGCAAGTGAAGTGGCCACTGCTCGGGACACATTCCCAAAGTCTGTGTCCCTCTCCTCCTTCACCTCCGCCTCCTGCCTCTCCTTCGTGGTCCCACTCCCCGTCCTCCTCCTTCCGCTCGTCCTCCCCAGGAATCCCCCTGGCGGGAGGGGGGCTGGCAGGCCCGACGTGCCTGCGGCCTGTTGACGGCGGCGCAGCGCGGCGCTGCGCAAGCGGCCGTGGACGGCCAGGAGCAGCGCGGCGGGCGTGGCGCGGGTGGTGCCCTCACGCCGGGGCGTGCGGAGGAGGCTCTGCTGGTGGCGCACGGCGCGGCGGGGCTGCGTGCGCGCAGCCCTGCTCGGAGTCGAGGCAAGGCGGCTGCTGCCTGCCAGGGGGACCACCGGGGAAGATGCTGGCGAGTCAGGCAGGGCGCGCAACGTGGAGTGCCACCGCGCCGTGGACATATGTGCTGGCATCGTCACGGTGCTCATGGGGAGCAAGTGGACGAGGAGGACGAGCTAGTCGAGAGGCAGGTACCCAGCGCGACATCTCCAAGGTCGCGGAGTGGGGCAACACGGTGGAGAGGCCAGTGAATACAGGGTTGCAGGAGGTGCAGCGGGCCAACGTGCAGCTGGAAGCGAGGCCGAGTGAGGTGCAGGTGGAGCTCAACGGCGCCATCGACCAGCTGAAGGAGGAGAGCTCGGAGCTTGCAGTTGCGTGCGAGCGAGCGGGCGCACCTGGGCAATGACTTCGTGGATCTACATGCCGACGACGCAGAGGGAGTTCGCCGGGGAGCGTGCTCGGGCGGCGGAGACTGATACCAAAGTGGCGGCGACGGACGCCGACCTTGTGAAGGATCACGGCCGCCACGAGGAGCTCGAGGAGCGGAATGCTGAGCTGCAGGTGGCGCTCGAGGCCGAGCGAGGGATGGGGAAGCAGCAGATGGCTCGAATCGACGGGGCAACGGGGCTCGCACAGGAGGTCACGGCAAGCATCCATGGGCCGAGGCCCAGAGCGAAACAGGCACCGAAAAACGGGGGCCAAGGGTGAGCGGCGCCATAGGCAGTTCCCGAGGCAGCGAGTGCGTCTCCATGGTGCTTCCAGAGCTGCCTCTGGGCTTCTGGTTTCTTCGAAGACCCATCGACGCACTGCCGCTGGAGGTCACAGCCGTGCCCCCTGGCTTCACCAGCTAGTGAAAGTGAGGATGAAACACCGAAGACCGCCATGCGCACTCTCAAATCCGTTTCTCAAGGGTTTTGAAGCGGTACACGGAGAGCTGCTTTAGTGGCGGTCGCTGTGGGCTCCCAGCTTGGCGGGTTACGCACGTGCGGTCGCGCGCGCAGCCCTGCACGGGTATCAGGCTTCGGGCGTGGTCCGCCACCTCCGTCTGGGGACTTCGAGGGCCGTCCGCAGTTTCACGAGCGCTCGGGCCACTGGCCCGAGGTAACATACTGTAGCGGTCAGGCCCTGAGGGGTCGCAGGGCCACCCCGTAAGTACAACCAAGACAAGTCGTCCTTTACCATGTTTGACCATCATGTTTCTTGCCGCAGTTCCTTTTTCAGGAGTCGTCCTCCTCCTCCTCCTCCTCATCCTCCTCTTCCTCATCCTCATCCTCCTCCTCCCCTCCTCTTCCTCCTCCTCCCCTCCTCTTCCTCCGCCTCCTCCTCCTCCTTCCTCCTCCTGCTCCTCCTCCTCATCCTCCTGACCCTCCTCGCCTCCAGCGCACGCGGCTCCCTCTGTCGCCGCCTCGCCCGCTGCGGCGGCTCCGCCCGCGCCCTCGCCCCCCTCGGGCGCCGCCGTCGCCTCAGTGGCGCCCCAGCGGCGGTTGCGGCGGCGAAGGCGGCGGGGCATCAGGGGCTCGCGCGTCCCCCCGCGCAAGGTGGCCGCCACGGGGGGCGGAGAGCCCACAAAATCGTGCCCAGTCTCCCCCCGTTCACCCTTCTCCTCCCAGTCCCGCGCCATCCTCCCCCGCCTCCTCTTCCTCCTTCTCCTCCTCCTCCTCCTCCTCCTTCTCCTCCCCTCCTCCTCCTTCTCCTCCTCCTCCTCCTTCCCCCCCTCCCCATCTCGGTCAGCATCATGTTCGCCATTGCCCCCTCCTCTCCCTCATCCTCCCCCACCTCCTCCTCCTCCTCCTCCTCCTCCACCTCCTCCTCTTCCTTCCCCTCCTCCTCCTCCTCCTCCTCCTCCTCCTCCTCCTCCTCCTCCTCCTCCTCCGCCTCCGCCCTGCCATGGTCTTCATCGTCATTGTCATGTTCCTGTCCCCCTTCTCTTCCTCCTCCTCCCCCTTGCCTCGCCATCGCCGTCCAGGTCCTCATTGTGCTGATCCGCTCCTGGACCTCATCCTCCGTCCCGCACCCAAAGTCATCATCCTAACATTGTCTTCGGGCTCCCCATCTTCTTGCACGTCCTGCATGCTCCACATCGTCATCGTCCTTGTCCTCGCCACCCTCTTTGTCGTCCTCCTCCTGTTGCTCCTCCTCCTTATCCTCATCCGTATCCCACTCCTCCTCTTCCTCCTCCTCCTCCTCCTCCTCCTCCTCCTCCTCCTCCTCCTCCTCCTCATCGTCCCCGGCCGCATGTTCGTTCTCCCACGCCACGTCGCCTTCATCCTCTTCCCTCCTCCTCTTCCTCTACTCCGCGCAGTCGGGCGGCCTCTTCCTCCCCCATCCATCTCCGACGTGCTGGAACGCACCTGGCAGAGCCAAGCCTTCCCGGCGCGAGCTAGACAGCGAAGCAGCCGATTGCCATTCTCCAGCAGGCCAGACCCCAGAAGAACTGCCCACCTCCATCCCGAGCTGGGGCCTGGAGGAAATAGCGGACATTTCCTAGGCGGTCGAATCCCCATGCGGCGCATGAGGCCGCCGCCCGGTCCGGGAAGGCCTAGACCCTTGTGAGCGCTGATCTGGGGGCCAGCCGAGCTAATGTCGCGAAACTGGGCGGGCCACCTGGCAGCTCCCAAACCTGGGCCACCGGATAGACGGGAGGGTGGGAAGGCTGGCTCCCGCGGCCCCCCAATCCGCCCACTGCCAGCACGTGGGGGGCCATCGTTGTCATTGCCGTGATCCGCATCGGCGCCGTCATTGACCTTAAGCTGTCGTCCTCGTCAGCGTCGCCATCAGCCTCGCTGCTATCATCATCGTGTCTGCCCTTGTCGACGTCGACATGATACCGCGCCCGCCCGAGTCTCCTCCTCCTCCTCCTCCTCCTCCTCCTCCTCCTCCTCCCCATTCTCCTCCTCCTCCTCCGCCTCCCCCTTCTCCTCCTCCTCCTCCTCTCCTCCTCTCCTCCTCCTCCTCCTCCTCCTCCTCCTCCTCCTCCTCCTCCTCCTCCTCCCTCCCCCTCCCCTTCCCCCTCCTCCTCCTCCGCCCCCTCCGCCTCGCACTCGAAGTGCCCGCGCGTCAGCGCGGCCCGCGAGACGCGCCGGAAGCCCCCAGCGGCAAGTGCCGCCGCGACCGCGCGGGTCGAACGCCAGACCAGCCGGCCGCGCTCCGCGCGCGGGGCCGGTGCGCTGCGAGAGCGGCCGCAGCGGGATGCGCCAGCCAACGCCGAGCGGCGATCGTAATCGCGCCAGCCAACGGGCTTTGCAAACTGCATTACGGGTAAGTACTGTGGGATGACGATTAGGAGAAAAAGGAGGGGGGAACGATGAAAAAAATTACCCTGGCGACGTACCCAACCCCTGCGCAAAAGCGGGGCGCAAATAGTTTAGGATACTTTATAAGGGGGCGATGACGGAGCGAGGGTTACATATGTCTGCAGACGGAATTCGGGAGACTCGCAGGACACTGGCTACAGGAAAAGGGCTTGATAAAGCTGATGATTTACAATTCCTGAGCACTCCTAGCCACTTCGAAAACGGGGATCACAGCAGGCCTCGAAAGTGGCGACAGGTTCACAGATCGCAGCCCCGCAGGGATGGCGAGGTCTCATTTGAATCTGCCCGTGGCCCTCACTGTGCTGGGCCCCCCAGCAGGCCTCGAAAATGGCGACAGTTTCGCAGATCGCAGCCCCCCAGGGATGGCGAGGTCTAATTTGAATCCGCGCGTGGCCCTCACTGTGCTGGGCCCCCCAGCAGGCCTCGAAAATGGCGACAGTTTCGCAGATCGCAGCCCCCCAGGGATGGCGAGGTCTAATTTGAATCCGCGCGTGGCCCTCACTGTGCTGGGCCCCCCAGCAGGCCTCGAAAATGGCGACAGTTTCGCAGATCGCAGCCCCCCAGGGATGGCGAGGTCTAATTTGAATCCGCGCGTGGCCCTCACTGTGCTGGGCCCCCCAGCAGGCCTCGAAAATGGCGACAGTTTCGCAGATCGCAGCCCCCCAGGGATGGCGAGGTCTAATTTGAATCCGCGCGTGGCCCTCACTGTGCTGGGCCCCCCAGCAGGCCTCGAAAATGGCGACAGTTTCGCAGATCGCAGCCCCCCAGGGATGGCGAGGTCTAATTTGAATCCGCGCGTGGCCCTCACTGTGCTGGGCCCCCCAGCAGGCCTCGAAAATGGCGACAGTTTCGCAGATCGCAGCCCCCCAGGGATGGCGAGGTCTAATTTGAATCCGCGCGTGGCCCTCACTGTGCTGGGCCCCCAGCAGGCCTCGAAAATGGCGACAGTTTCGCAGATCGCAGCCCCCCAGGGATGGCGAGGTCTAATTTGAATCTGCCCGTGGCCCTCACTGTGCTGGGCCCCCCAGCAGGCCTCGAAAATGGCGACAGTTTCGCAGATCGCAGCCCCCCAGGGATGGCGAGGTCTAATTTGAATCTGCGCGTGGCCCTCACTGTGCTGGGCCCCCCAGCAGGCCTCGAAAATGGCGACAGTTTCGCAGATCGCAGCCCCCCAGGGATGGCGAGGTCTAATTTGAATCTGCGTGGCCCTCACTGTGCTGGGCCCCCCAGCAGGCCTCGAAAATGGCGACAGTTTCGCAGATCGCAGCCCCCCAGGGATGGCGAGGTCTAATTTGAATCTGCCCGTGGCCCTCACTGTGCTGGGCCCCCCAGCAGGCCTCGAAAATGGCGACAGTTTCGCAGATCGCAGCCCCCCGCAGGCAAGACAGAAAGAGGCAGGAAAGAGGCGGGAGGCGGGAGGAAGAGGGACGCGACCACACTGCTCTATTCAAAACGAATATCCAACCAAGGAGGGTTGGGAAATAGTTTCCCACACCGGGGGGGGACCGCTCAGAAGCAGGGCTCGCCTGTGCGGTGTTTCGTCACTGGGTGGGGCGCGCGCCCGAGGAGGGCGGGGGGGGGGGACGATTAAAAATAGTTTCCCAGCCCGGGGCCGGTTTTTTCTAATCGTCATCCCGGGCGCCGCCGCGTGAACACGACCCCCGGTCATTTATTAATCGTCATCCTCCATTAGGTGGGGTGATTGCGCGCGCAGTGCAAAGGACAACTCGCTGCAAGCACACATCAACACCACGACATGCATTGCACCCAATCGTTTGCACCACATAGTTCACACCACATTGGTGAGAACGTTGGCCCCTACCACGGCACAGATATTGCACAGCATACACTGCACATTGCACTACTTCACTGGACAACTCGCGAAAATGCAGTCGCAAGAACATTGAATTGGTTGGTCTGTTCGGTCCGGTTGGGTTGGTGATATGGTCGGATCTCCCGCATCACAGCAGTGGTCGTGATTTGTGCGTTTCCTCTGCCCTGGCATCCTTTTCACTGGCAGGGAGCGCAGATCAGGTCTCGAAGCCCGCAAGCCCATTAGCGCCACGTATCATGACAGAACTCACACAATGTCCTGCGTCGGGCAAGCCCGGTGCGCTGGTTGCTTCACGTTCTGCTGCGTGCGTGTGTGTGCGCGCGTGTGTGTGGATGTGTGTGGGCTGTGGGTGCGCGATAGGTTTCAAGCTAAACTGCTGGAGCCTCGCGACGGAAAGTTTCCTGCGACATACTACGCAGAGCTTCCGTTCAGGTGCATTCGGGTCGGCAAATCTCCGCACGCGTCTAATAAGTATGGTGACTCAGCGCAGGCATGCGCGCTCTGAGAGCTAGCTTACATCCGAAGTCTTGCTTTGCGTGGTTTGTGTTCACGGCGGCGGCCTGGGTGGATTGATAGTAGTGGCAACGCTTTGGGGTTCAATGCGAAGTGTCGAAGAGAAGACTTTACAGTAATTGGGGATTCGTAACAATGCTCAAAAGCATCATCCACATAATCCACATAATCATAAGAATACGCATCTTCAATACAATGCCAATGAAAGGACACGCGCCACATCGGAACGTAGCACAATAATTGCATGCGCCGGGCGCGCCTCAAAGATGGCAATTCCGACTCGACTTCGAAACGCGAATATTCGATCCAGTTGCGACGCCCGAAACTACGAATTTGGGCCAGTCACCCCCCAAGCTGTGGCGGGGGCAAGGTATACTGGAGACCCTGGAGAACCTGAGTGCCCCCCAACACCTTGGGACCCTCAAGGCAGCCCAGGAGACTCAAGAGGGCCTAAGTCTGGCCCTGCAGGGCCTCCAGAGGAACCCATGACTGCCTAAGAAGCCAAAGGGGGCCTGTTGGCAGCCAAAGGCGGCCACGCGACGGCCCCAAGAGCCCCCCAGACGGCCACGAAGGCTCTAAGAGCCCCCAGGCAGTACAAGAGAGCCCCGAGGGACCCCAAATATTGCCGCTCGGAAGCCCACGACAACCTCAAGACTGCCTACATGAAACCTATATGCTATCCTGGTATTCGTTGTCGTCCTCCTCTTCTTCCTTCCCGTCCTCCTCCTCCTCCTCCTCTTCCTCCTTCTCCTCCTCCGGCTGAAATCTTTATGTTCGGCGGAGGTTGTTTGCTTTAGAAAAGGAACTGAATCCAGATTCGAAAAAAAACACCGACAAATGCAATTAGCTATATACACATGTGTATATATATATATATATATATATATATATATATATGTATGCATGTATGTATGTATGCATGTACCAGGCGCTCCCGATCAACCGCAGGGCGGCGGGCTGAGTAACTCGATCTAGATTGAAGCTCACGGCATGGAAGCGCGAACGCAATGACAAAACCACGTGCTGGCGGCGCGCACAGGGGGGGTAAGGGGAGGGGGGGATGATTCTTAGAAGGGGGCTGCTTCGTAGGCCTACCCCCCCGGACGTGTCCGTCAAGGACGCGTGGCACACGTCGCCTGATATTGACCCGGCGACGACGGCGTACGGCAGGCCTGTGCCGCAGCGACGTCGGCGTTTTGTTTGGCGACGCCGCGTGGATATCGTTCGCCCTTGAGCGCTCGCGGCTTCTTCTCCTATGGAACAGATCCTTACCTAGCTGTTTGAGCATCGTTTAACCGATCCCCATCCCCAGCGGCGTGGCCTGGGCCCCGCTGGCCGATTTATCCCCCTAGATGGGGATATAGGTCGTTCTCCTCGGGTTTCGAGGGGTGTATCCCCAACTGGGGTGGTAATTTGGTGGGGGTCTCGAAGGGGATGGAGATGGGGATGGGGATCGGTTAAACGATAGCGACCATTCTGGAACGACCGAGTCCTGACAGATGGGGTCCTGGGGACGAGGTGCCTCAAACAATGTGAATTCACGCCTGGATCCCTTCCTATCCTCTGGCCCCCCAGCACTCATGACCCTGTATCTGAACCACCAGGTCCTGGGACATGGGGTCCTGGGGAGGAGGGGCCTCAAACAGTGTGTGTGTGTGTGAAGTCGCGCTCGGATCACTTCCCACCCTGAGGCCCCCTGCCCTTAGGGCCCCAGCTGTGAACCACCGAGGCCGGCCGGTCGATGCCAGGGCACCGGCGGAGCTCAACCTCGAACGACTGGTCTGGAGCCGCCGCCGCGCCGCAGCGGCGCGAACCGAAGGCGCTCGCCGCACAAACGGAGAGCGACCACGTGAACGGTCAGAACTGATGGTAGGGATGCGCGGAAGGGATGCCAGGGCCTTGGGCGCCCATACCAAAACGTTTCCAGCGGGGCTGGCCATCGAAAGTGGTTGATGATGGACCGAAGATGGCCGAAGAGGCAAGTCTGCAAGGATAGCCTTGGGAAGTCGATGATCCTTTGACTGTAGCTAGCTGTGGAGGGTCGCTTCTGACAGGTACAAGTACTATACGCCCACGCCTCGGACAATACCCCCGTCGCGTGCTAGAACCGCTGCAGCCATGTACGGCGTCGGCATCGGCCCGAAGCGACCGGGCCGGTCGAATCACGCTGGCACTAGTCGGGGAAACGTGAGGCTCTATTTCGGGGGACTCGAGTTGGCCTGACGGGGCCGTCAAGAACACGACGAGACCTAATTTGAAGTTTGACGTGAGCTCCCGCTGCAAGCATCCCACGAAAAATGGACCGTCAAATCCACGACGTGCCCGGCAAAAAACGTCGGCAGATCCGAGCGCCGGCGTCCTCGACTACGCTGCCCCGAAGAGGCGAAGCAATTCGGGCGGGTGGTATTGGGGGGGGGCCTACATGTCCGACCAGCCACAACTGGGGGGGCTGTGGTTCTCATCCCCCTGGGGGAACCCATCGCCTCGACGGGCTCTCGAGAGGGGTGCCGAAATCGATGGGTCCCCCAGGGGGGTAAGGACCACAGCTCCCCCAGTTGTGGCTGGCCTGCATGTGGGGGTGACGGAAAGGACCCTGAAGGGGGCCCAGGGCCGCATCTGGGGCCAGATGGGGCCCCCAAAGGGGGCCCTGAAGGGCACCTCGAGGACCCTGTCCTGCACCCACCCATGAAGGTCACCCCCCATTTCCAGCCGCCCGAGAGATGTGAACGATCCCCGCAAACTGAGGCCCCGGCATCGGCCGTCTCCTCGCCCTTCTTCTCTGCATCCTCCTCGCCCTTCTTCTCTTCGCCCTCGCCATCAATCTTCTCTGCCTTCTCCTCCTTCGCGTCTTTCGCCTCCTCCCCGTCCTTCGCCTCCTCCTTCTCCTCCGTCGCCTCCTCCTTTGCACCCTCCTCGGGTCACCCACAAGACATGTTTGACGACGTCCCATCCCGAAGGCGCCTATAGACATCAATATCATGCCTGACCAGGGCCAACATGGGCCATGACATAGTGTGTATGCGCTCTCGTGGCCTCGGCCGGCCTCGGCGAAGAAATTCTATACAATCCTGGGGCCAGGACTGTCCCGTCAAGGCATGTTGGCTGTGATGTAAGACTAAACACCTTCTGCGGAGACATTTCGCTGCGTTGTCCTCGGATCGTCGGGCACTTGTTTGCTCATTTCGCAAGAAGGCCAGCTGGCTGATCCAGCAGATCGAAGTCCCGTCGGGCACTTCGAACTTCGAGCATGCAAAATGTTCCCAGCAGGCCATCCCGCTCCCTCTCTTTCTGCATCTGATCGTTCTCAGACAGAGGCTGCCGATCTCTGGCCGTCAAACTCGTCCTCGCCGTCGTCGCTCGCCTTCGCTGTGGTCGTCGCCGTCGGTGGCTGCATCTGTTCCAGTCTGCCTGGACCCCGTGTCCCTTCAGGGCACGCGCGAGGACAACATGGAATTCCACCCTTCGATCGGGGGTGGACAGAGCCCCCATTTAGCAAAAGAACCCTCCTTGTGAAAACGACCTAGCACAAGACCTGGTGGGCGCAGGACTGCCCGCGATGGGCGTGCGGAAGCCGACGCGTCATGTTGAATTACTGACAGACTCGTGAGGCATGCGTGCGGCCAGGTCCTGTCGGCACACTCTTTTCGCGGGGATGCTGCGACCTGAACCTGAGGTAGAAGACGCCTGTCGTGACCCCGTCCCCCTTTCACAGCGCCCGGGTGTGAGGGCCCCAGCCACCGATCATCCTCTCGACATCGGTCCCCAAGCACCTCCAGGCCACCCTCGGAGACAACCCCCTGGCCCGATGCCCGAAGCGCGCGCAACCGTGGCCACGAGCTGGACCCATGATGGCCCCGGGGGGGTCTCTCTGGAGTTAGTTCGGGTATGTCCCCCTACAGGCGGATTTTGGACGAAAAATGAAACATAATAGAAACATGCTCAAACGTATGCAAACATGGTAGAACAATCGCTCCCTGACTATCTTTTCACTAGGGACACGCCCGACTGAACTCTAGAGGTCCCCAGGAGACCTCCTGGTGGATGTATCCCTGGACCAAGCGGTCGCCAGGAGCGCCCCTGGCGCGAGAGAGGCCCGGGCTTCCCCCGGGCACAGACGGGGGCGGAAAGGGGGTCCACAGGCAAACAAGCTGCTGCCGCCATGAGTTTGGGTCCGCGACCGGGCCAACAGGATGATCTCATCACACCAGGATGCAGCACCCATTCGCGCCCCAAGATCGTGCTGTGAGAGGTGGAGGACTCGCCAGCAAGTGGCGGAGGATCCGCCGTCAGATGTGCAGCCCACTCCCTGCAGTGCGAACGCACTGAGCGTTGAGAGCAAACCGAAAAAAAACGGATCCACCCTGGATGGGGGGAAATGGTCACGTGCCGAACCCAACCAGTATCTGTAGGAAGGAGACTTTGACGACGAGGACTTCCTCCACGCAAAATCAAACGTCTGTCAGTGTCATTCCCTTCAGCCGAGATAGCGATAGATGCGGGGCAACAGGAATCGTGTACACACACACGTGCACACTTGCGAAGCCCTTCCTATATGATGCAAACGCGCGGGCCCCAACCAGTCTGTTCTTGCACAACCGACGTAGGTATCGGCTAGGCGGTACACGCCACAGGGCGCCAACTCCCAATAAAAAACAATAGATGAGGAAAAACTGACTGAACATAAACGTTCCGAACTCCGCGCGGATTCATTGGATCTACGCTGGACCCCCCCCCGCGAGGAGCGCGCCAGGAACGGCACCAGAAGAGAGGGCCACAGCGCCGATCCAAGACACGTCCGCGCGGAACCCCGAGAACGGATCTCTCTGTGCCGCTTCGGTCTTCCTCGGGGCTGGTCTCCTGGACCTTGCACGCCTCATCCTCCTTCTCCTCCTCCTTCTCCTCCTCCTCCTCCTCCTCCTTCTCCTCCTCCTCCTCCTCCTCCTCACGGCGGGTGGGAAGGAGAGGCCGCCAGCGGCTGTGGGAGGGGGGCAGAGGCGCCTGAGATTAGGTCGGGCGTGTCCTCCTACAAGGGGATTTTGGGCGAAGAAGAAAAGTAGCCAAACAAGAAGGAACAGTTGCAAAACAAATCATCAAAACATCGTCCACGGACTATTTTGTTTGACTCTCATTAGACTCTCCCTCTGTAGAAGGACACGCCCGACCTAAGGCTAAGACGCGCCCCCGGCGGCCCACCCAGCCTGCTCCCCACAGGAGCACCGTCTGCTCTCCTCCCACTTCCAGGTGGCTTTGGGGCCGTAGGCTCGCCTCGCCGGCGGCCGTCTCGGGACGACTCGGGCACCCCTGCAAGACGCCACCGGCGAGGCGCGGCTACTGGAGAGCAGCCCGGGGCGAGAAGCCATCCGGGGGTCAGCGCCCGCAAGCCGAGATCGGGCGGAAGCCTCGGGAGACCAGCCTCGTGCCGCAGGGGTGTAGCGGGGGGCCGATCGGAACGTCGGGGCCGGCCGGCCCCGAGGGCTGCGCCTCCGCCTTTTCGCCGTTTTCCGCGCCCTCGTCCGCCTCGGCCTCGCAGGCGGGTGGCAAAGGGAAAAAAGAGGAGGAGCAGGATGAGGAAGAGGAGCAGGAGGAGGAGGAGGAGGAGGAGGAGGAGGAGGAGCAGGAGGAAGAGGAGGAAAAGGAGGAGGAGGAGGAGGAGGAGGAGGAGGAGGACAAGGACAAGGACATCCGCATAAAGGGGTATAGCGTCAAAGCGCCGACGCTGGTGTCTGATGCACTTCTGCCAAAATTTCCTGCGACCGATTGTGCAACAGCCCTGTCTTCTCGCTAAAGCCAACTGGGGGCATACCACGTTGCTGAAGGACTGCGCTCCGAGGTGGCCCCGTAGGAGAGGCTCACTACCTTACTTTCACGAATCCCTGCGGGTCAGTGCGGGGGGAGCGGCTGCTGGCCCTTCCGCGTGCCCAGGGGGGAGGGGACGCGCGAGCTTAGCAGTGCGCCCAAGCCAGGGGGGAGGAGACGACGACACGACCACTCAAAGGGAGGAGAGAGGGGGAGGGTCGGGAGGCCCGTGTCCCCAAACTGTTGCTGAAGGGCGCTGTTTACTCAACCGTTTTACTTACATGTTCCCCCCACCCGCTCGGTTCAATTCGCTGTCTGGCCGAGAGTTGCCCCGTGCATTGTCGCATGTGTATTCTGATGCCCTGTTGTAGTCTCCCACCGTTCCCCCTCGAACTGTATGTGGGGAAGAACATACTGGTAGTCACGGTATATGGTAGGTGGGGCCATCGAGGAAGCACTCTGTTGGACTTCGTGATGGGCACCTCTTTCTCTCCTTCTACACCCTACAATCCCAAACCAACTTCCCATTGCGAAGACAGCGCGAGCACTCCGCTGTGCCCATCCTGTATGCCCCGAGTAGCACTCCGAGACAGCCTCGCTAATGCATCTCTTGGCTGCCTGTGGGCTCGACCAGTTTGCCCAGAGTAGCGCTCCGAGAAAACCTCGCTAATGTTTTTCTTGGCGTTCCAGTAGGCTCGAGCTGGCCGTTGTCGTCTCCTCTGACTTGAGGTAGCCGAACTTTGCTTCGGATATCTCTGTGCCATCCAGCAAGATCTACGTGCTGTCTCGTAGCTTCTGGCGCTCCTTGAGCCTCTTAACTTCTTCGGGGTCGAGATTGCCCTCGTTGTCCAGTTCCTTCAAGGCGGCCTTCATGACTTTGTGGAGGTTCTCTTCGTAGGTCTTTGATATCTTTCAGCGCCAGCTCAAACCAGCGCTGTACAGAAAAAACCTTCCTCCCTGCCCTTTCCGACGCGTCCACAGGGTACCTTGCGATGAGATCGCAACCTTTGACCTTGTGCGTCATCGGTAAGGACACAGGAGGAGGAAAAAGGAGGAGGAGGAGGAGGAAGAGGAGGAGGAGGAAGAGAAAGAGGAGAAAGAGGAGGAGGAGGAGGAGGAGGAGGAGGAGGAGGAGAAGGAGGAGGAGGAGGAGGAGGAAAAGGAAGAGGAGGAAGAGGAGGAGGGTGACCCCAGTGGCGGGTGGAGAAAAGGGCACCGAATGGGCCTTTTGGGCCCCTCGGCCTCTCGGGCGGGTGGCAAGGGGGGGGGGGCCCAGTGGCGGGTGCAGAAAAGGGCCCTGAAAAGACCCCCTGGAAAGGGGCCCTTTTCAGGGCCCCTGCTGGCGCCAACAGGGGTCCCGAGGGGCCCTTTTCTCCACACCCCCATGTATGGGAACACGACTTTTGCACACGCACACGCCACCTTTTGCGTCGGCGGCTAGGCAGGGGTCGTCTGCGCTGGCACAAGAAGCTGACTACGCAAACGGGAGCACCATTGTAGCGAATTGGCCAACATGAAAGAGGGGGAGGAGGGACGGAACGGGCGCCAGCAAGGGGGGACGGAGAGAGCGGACACACCCCACAAACATGCCGGTCCGGCACGAGACCGCAGAGAGGGGGCTGCGCACAGCATTTACACCCCCTGGAGACGTGATTTTGGCACACCACCACGGCGAACACGCTGGTCTGCATAAGGTACCAGCGCGGGGGCGACTGCGTTCCAGTCCAGAAGCCTTGCGCCGGCCACAGCGCGTGAGCAATGGGTGGACATGAGCACGGATGCGGGTGCCTTCAGCACGCCGCCCATGCCTTGACAGCCTGCTCCCACCTGCGAGCTGCACCACCCTCTTGGCGGGAGTAGCCTGCAAGTCGCTCATGGGCGGGCGGGGGCGGGGGCCATACATCTTCCCCCTGAATTTAGGCGACCCCCCATTACCACCCGTCCGAGCCTCGGGTTTCTCGCCGTTCACCTCCGCGGCCTCCTCCGCGCCCTCTGCCTCGGGCTGCCTCTCGCCCTCCTCCGCGTCCTGCGTCCCCTCGACCTCGGGGGCCGTGGCAAGACGAGGCCAGGACAAGGGACAACAGCGGCCAGGAATATATCCGGACTCTCTGCTGGCCCACTCTTCCACTACCACTAGCAAAGAAAGGAGGGCGGAGAAGGGAGGATGGGGAGGTCCTCCTCCTGCTCCTCCTCCTCCTCCTGCTGCTCCTCCTCCTCCTCCCTCCTCCCTCCTCCCTCCTCTCTCCTCCCTCCTCCCTCCTCCCTCCTGATCCTCGTCCGCCCTCCTGCTCCTCGTCCTCCTCCTCCTCCTCCTCCTCCTCCTCCTCCTCCTCCTTCATCCTCCTCCTCCTCCTCCTCCTCCTCCCTCCTCCTCCTCCTCCTCCTCCTCCTCCTTCCTCCTCCTCCTCCTCCTCCTCCTCTCCTCCTCCTCCTCCTCCTCCCTCCTCCTCCTCCTCCTCCTCCTCCTCCGCCTCCTCCTCCTCCTCCTCCTCCTCCTCTCCTCCTCCTCCTCTCCTCCTCCTCCTCTCCTCCTCCTCCTCCTCCTCCTCCTCCTCCTCCTCCTCCTCTCTCCTCCTCCTCCCCCTCTCTCTCTCCTCCCTCCTCCTCCTCCTCTCCTCCTCCTCCTCCTCCTCCTCCTCCTCCTCCTCCTCCTCCTCCTCCTCCTCCTCCTCCTCCTCCTCCCTCCTCCTCCTCCCTCCTCCTCCTCCTCCTCCTCCTCCTCCTCCTCCTCCTCCTCCTCCTCCTCCTCCTCTCTCCTCCTCCGCCTCCTCCTCCTCCTCCTCCTCCTCCTCCTCCTCCTCCTCCTCCTCCTCCTCCTCCTCCTCCTCCTCCTCCTCCTCGTCCTCCTGCTGCTGCTACTCCTCCTCCCTCTTCCTCCTCGTCCTCTTCCTCCGTCCTCTTCCTCCTCCACCCCCTCCTCCTCTCTCTTCCTCCTCCTCCTCCTCCATCCTCCCTCCTCTCCTCTTCCTCCTCCTCCTCCTCCTCCTCCGCCATCCTTCCTCCTGCTCCTCCTCCTCCACCTCCTCCTCCTCCTCCTCCCCTCCCCTCCCTCCCTCCCTCCCTCCCTCCCTCCCTCATCCTCCGCCCTCTTTCCTCCCTCCTCCCCTTCCTCCATTCCAGCTTCTTCCAAGTAACTCCTACCTGTCGCAAACCGAAACGTGTGCGTAGGGCGGGCTGGGCGTTTCGCCTGAGACTCCACCAGCGCTTGGGATCCTGAATATCGAAGTGTGCAACCGTTTATGTGATGAAAGGCGATTCCTTTTCCAATATGTGGCTCGCGCCATCGCGTCCCGCAACCTAATCTTAGAAGTTTGCAGCGGCTTCAAAGATGACGGACAATGTGTTTTCAAAATCTGGCTCACGCCTCAGCGATGGGCACGTTCGTCTGAAAAGGTTACGGCAGTTTCACGGATTCGGTAGGTTGATGTCCCAGGCATGGTATTGTGGCAAAACTTGGGCTTGTAACAGTCACGTTGACTCGCACTGTTGCCAGGAATGGCGTTATGGCACGACTCAAGACTGTCAGGACACAGCAGTCATTTCAACCCGCAGCGTTGAAGTTCCAGGGATGGTGCTGTGTTGCACGATTCAGGATTGCAAGACAGTTGTCTTCTGATGGGCCACTACTCGACATGAAACCGAGGTCTTGTAGGGACCTCTGACAAAAAAAGCGGTACTTGGAGGGAGTGCCTCTTGTAACATCGGCGATGCGCCTTGGCTTGAACTGGTCCTCCTCCTCCTCCTGCTCCTCCTCCTTTCCTCCTCCTCCTCATTTCCTCCTCCTCCTCCTCCTCCTCCCCAGACGCTGCACCCCAGGCCCATGCCTGTGCTGGCCCCGGTGCGCCACCCTGGGCCGCCACGGGCACACGCCGGAACGTCGCAGAGGTGCACCACGAGAGCGGCAGGCAACACACACACACACACACACACACACACACACACACACACACACACACACAAAAAAACGGCATCGAGCCGCCGCCGCCGGCCCAGAGCCCACGCGCTCCTCTCCCCGCGAAGCGCCCCCCGCCCGCTGCACGCGAGGACCCCGCGCACGGGCGCCTCCTGGGCGCGCCGCACGCCGAGCGCCGTGCGCACGCCGCGGCAGCGGCGGCTCGGTGCGCTGGGGCTCGGCTCAAGTCGGGCCTGTCCTCCAACAGGCAGGGAGCCCACAAAGGACGTGCGCGCCCAGCTGTGTACATGAACACGGCCCCTTGACCCGCGAGGCCGGCCGCGCGATACGAACATTCGCGCAATGCGAAGTCTCGAAACCAGCGTGGATTCATGTACGTGTACGTCCTTCTTTCGCTCCTGAACAGGGGGGATCTTGGGCGGGAAAAATTGAAATACTCCGAAAATACCCCCAGATGGTCAAAGGTAAAAAAACATCGTCCCCGGACTATCTTGTTACTATTTCTGGATGTTCCTCGGCCTCCTGTGGGGGGACAGGCCCGACTTAAGGCTTGGCCCACGCGCTCCGAAGGGCACTCGTCGGTCGGAAGAAGCAGGCAGAAACATGAAGTAGGACGGCGTTGAAAAGTAGATTGGGCTTCCGCCCGCCCCTGGAAGGGGGGAGAGGGACAACCGTTCGACCCCGGAAGCAGGAAGGCGCCTAGAGTAGATTGGAACCTGGGGATCCAAGCATACCTACTTTCAACGACCGATGGGTCAGGTGCAGGGGCGCTAACTGAGGTGGGGAGCATCGAACCAGAATCGGCGATACATCGGCGAGGAAGGAACGCTGGGCCCCCGAGAGCGAGCCCGCACACTCCTGGGCGGGGTGGGCCGTCGGGGCCCTGTCGGCGACGAGTGGGCGATTGGAGGTCGATGCGTCCCCCCTGGATCCTGCCCCCCTGAACGGCAGGGTCCATTTCGATCCGACCGATCTTGTCCGATGTCGTGGCCCCCCTTGGGCCTACCTGCCCCTGACGCTGCGCCTGGCTGGAGGCGGCTGAGGGGTCTGCACTGGCCGGGGCCCCGGAAGATCGGCCAGGAGGAGGGGTGAAACCAAATCCGTTCAGAATCGGTCACCAAGCCCGTACTGGGGTCCTTCCGGGTGCAACGTTTCGCCCCCGGATCCGTTTCTGACAGCACCGCTTGCCCACTGCTCGTCCGCGGGCTACTTCAAGCAATGGCTAGGTAATTCCTGAAGTGTTTAATTATGGCTCTGAGTCCGTAAATCGGCTAACCCCGCTACCGTCGCCGATGTACTTTCTCCCGGGCGGGATGACGACCTGCCCCAAGACTATGCAGCACACGCAGATGTTGGCGAGAGGGCAAGTTACGTATTACTCGGCTACATCGCCGATCTAATTTCCCAGCCAGCCGATCTTAGCTCGAACTTACCACAGCCCCCGTTGTCTCGAAGAAAATTCTCGTGCGAGAGAAACACACGACGAAGAGAGAGAGAGAGAGCGAGACAGAGAGAGAGACAGACAAGACAGACACATAATCATAATCATAGAGAGTGCGAAACAGAAACTGGCAACGTCTCTCTCCAGATACATACATACATGCATGCATGCATACACATACACATACACATACACATACACATACACATACACATACACATACACATACACACATACACACATACACACATACACACATACACACATACACACATACACACATACACACATACACACATACGTACATACATACATACATACATACATACATACATACATACATGCATACGTACAAACATACATACATACAATCATGCATATATGTATATAAACAACCATACATACACATACACATAAACACATACACACATACACGTACATATACCAATGCATACACAGACATACATACATACATACATACATACATACATACATACATACATACATACATACATGCATGCATGCATGCATGCATGCATACATACATACATACATACATACAAACGATCAGTATGTACATGTGTGTTCGTAGCGGTTCGACCCCTTTGGCGACTGCGATCGCTTGTGTGCCTTAGCGATTCCGATCGCGATGTGCATGCATTTGTACTTGCTGAACAGGCTCGCGCTGACGTGCCTTGTAGGATCGTTTGCAACACGTGCGGCGGGGGGGCAGATGGCGATCGCTGAATTGGGATGGGCGCGATGGCGACTGCTGCGGTGGGAAGGGAGCGATAGCGATCGCTGGAGCGGCTCACTTGCGGTTGCCGTGGGGCAATCCGCAGGCGATGGAGAAGTTCGATATGAAGACTGTTCAAAACGAGCCCTTGCAAGGCCCCCTTCTGGTGCTATAGGTACCCTCTGGTGTTCTTCCAAAGCTTTGAATCAAGGGTCGCACACGGCTCACTTGGGAGCGTCTTGGGGCCACATTAGGGCCATGGTAATTACTCGCCTTGCAGACTTTCCAAACAGAGTCCCAATTCCCGCAACCCATCGTCGCCGACCTCCGTGGAATTGAACGCATCGTCAACGAAGCCGGTCGCACTGAACATCGCAAATGCATCGTCGCAAGTAGGTAAGTGCAGTCAGGACGATACGATGATTATCTTTTTGTTTTCCTAGCGTTCTCGTTTTGTTCGCATGGGCTTCGGAATCCAGGAGAACAAACAGATAACAAACATAGAACAACTGAACACCAAGACAACAAAGGGAGACCACGGGGAGCACCAGGAGACCAAAAGGATAACAAACGGAATCCATCAACAACCATATGCTTAGGGTGTTTGATTTCCTGTTTCTTTACTGTCCTTCACCGTGTGTTCTCCTGGTGGTCGTCGGTTGTTCTCATTTTGGTAACCTTTCGTGTTCCTGGGTTTCGAAGCCCAAGGGAACAATGGAGAATACAAGGAGAACGCTAGGACAACAAAAGGAGGCCATCGGGTCGTACTTACCGCGCTGACCTACTTACGGGGGAGCACTGGCGCATTTCAGCGCGATGCACTGAGTGCGGACTGGTTCGAGTCCTCTCGTCTGCTATCATCGCGGCCATATCTCTGAACCATGAAGTGGGAAGGGAGCGGTGGGGATCGATGGGGTGAGGGGGGCGCGACGGCGATCGCTCTAGTGAAACAAGGAACGATGACGATCGCTGCGACTCGTCGTCGCCGCAAGTGCCCTGCCAGCGATCTCGATCGCTGCGGCCCCGCGCGCTTCTGCGCGCTCGTCCGCGTATCCGTCAAGGCCCGACTGCGCTGCTCGACCCGAGCGGCGCCGAGCGTGCTGCTCGAGCCGAGCAGCTCGTGCGTGTGAGCATCGTCGAACCGATCCCCAGCCCCGCCAGCGTGGGCTGGGCCACGCTGGCCGATGTTGCCCCCCCTGGATGCAAAAATTTGGGCTGCCCTCTTCGGGCCTCGAGGGGCACGGCCCCAGCTGAGGTGGTGGGACGGTGGGGCTCGAGATGTGGAGGGGGACGGGAGGAGGAGGAGGAGGAGGAGGAGGAGGAGGAGGAGGAGGAGGAGGAGGAGGAGGAGGGGGAGGAGGAGGAGAAAGGAGGAGGAGGAGGAGGAGGGAGGAGGGGGAGGAGGAGGAGGGAGGAGCAGGGGATGGGGATCGGTCAAACGATGCTGACCAGCGGCCCGCACGCGCCCAAGCGCCTGGCCGCCATGGCCGAGGGCGTCGGTCTAGTCACCGCGGCCTCCGGCGGGGCCGCGCCGGAGGGCGGCGTCGGCGAGGCCAGCGCCGCGCCGACGTTTCCGACCGAGGCTGCGGCCTCGGATCGAAGGGTCGAGACCACGAAGGCACACGAGCGATCGCAATCGCTAAAGCGGTGGATGGCGATGGTGCGTGCGTATAGTTACAGACACGTGGATAAATAAGCATATATGTGTACAGATATGTATACATATATATATATATAGAAAAAGATGTGGGTGCAGACGTGGGTCTGTGGATTAATGAGCAGGAGAACGAGACAGAGAGAGAGAAAGAGACAGAGGGAGACAAAGAGAGAAGGAGAGAGAGAGAGAGAGAGAAAAAAAAAAAAGGAAAGAGAAAGAGAGAGAGAGCAACTGAAACAATCAAAGAGATCGAGAGAGTGAGACGAGACACCTCTATACATCTCTACTATATATATACATTGAAAGATACAGATACGTGGAGAAACGGCGAAACCAATCCTGAGACTCATCCTCTTCATTATCCCCCCTCCATATATCATTGGATAATAAAGTACACGGATAAGTCGCAATTTAGTTACGTAGCTTAGTAATGAAATAAATAAGCACGAATACCAACAACCAATGAGCGGAGCCCGAAAACAGCCCCCAGCGACCAAAAAAGAGGCCCTGAAGGTGCCCTGTATGGCCCCTTTTCGAGCCAGTAGGCGTCCAAATGGAGCCCTACAGGCTACAGGGCACCCTTATCGGGGAGACGTAAGACTCGGGTTTGGGGGCGGGTCAACCATGAAAATGACGAGACCCACTCTGAAATCTGACGGGAGCTCCCACTGCAGAAATCCCACGAAAACTCGACCGTCAAAATCCAGGGCGGGCTCGTCAAAAAGAGCAGGCGAACCAGAGTTCCGGCGTACTCGACCCTCACGTTTCCCCGACTCCAGGGCCCGATCTTCAGCCCCTGACAAGTGGACTAGATCCTACTACCATTGCGCGCCGCGCGAGGCCTCCAGGCTTTTCCTCTCAATTGAGGGATGAGAAAAAACACGGCCCTACCCTGGGTTACAGGTGCGTGGTCTGCAAACCTCCTGGGAACCCCCAAAGCCCAGAGCCGCCAGGACGCGGCACGTCCGCGCAGGGACCACCCCGCCAACCCACAGGAGCCTCGGCGCACGGCGCCTCGTAAAAACCAAGGTATAGGGGGTGCGTTTTTGCCTGCCCTTGACGCAAAAGCCCCCCTCTCAGCGCCCGCCCGAGACGGCCGCAAACCAGAGGCCCCCCCCCGGCTCGGGAGCGGCCAAGAGGGGGGTGTCCAAGAGGGGGGGGTGCAAATCATGACCGGCGGCACGTGCGCGGCCCAGCGGGGGGGCCAGGGACGTGATGAAACAAGAAGGGGCGCCATGAAATCTGGGGAAATATCATGGCCCCCGCCATGATATCCCCCCCCCCCCCTAGTCCTCACCCCCCTCTTCTCCGCCCCCGACCGGCGAAGGGGCGCCCTCGCGCGCCGCCGCTCCCCCCGGGCCCCCCGCGGTGTGCGCGGCGCCGGCCTTCGCCTCGAGGGCCGCCCCGGAGGGCGCCTGCCCGGCCGCCTCCATGGCCAGCTGGGCCCCCCCGGCCGCCCGCCCGCCTGCCAGGGCCGAAGTCGAGGCGACCATGGTGGAAAAAACAAACACACCGTGGGAAAAACACACACACAGTGGGGAAAACACACACACACACACACACTGTGGGTAAAACATACAAAAACACACGCACACACACACACACACACTGTGGGGAAAAACACACACACAGTGGGGAAAAAAACACAGTGGGAACACACTGTGGGACAAACAACACACACAGTGGGAAAAAAACAACAGTGGGAAAACACATACACACAGTGTGTGTGTGTGTGTGTGTGTGTGTGTGTGTGTGTGTGTGTGTGTGTGTGTGTGTGTGTGTGTGTGTGTGTGTGTGTGTGTGTGTGTGTGTGTGTGTGTGTATGTGTCACTGTGTGTGTGGGTGTGTGTGGGTGTGTGTGTGTGTGTTCCCACAGAGGAGGAGCCATAAACATGCTCGCGTCGTAAAACAAAATGTGAACGGGGGGTTTTGCCTGTTTTCGGCCCCAGGGGGGGCCCTCGCCGGGCCTCGGGGCCGTCCACACAATGACTCGGGACGAAAAAACCGGTCCCAGGGAAAGGGTCGGGACTTCCAGGGACGCCGTCCTGCGTCGCATGTCTGGGACCGAATAAACAGAAACTGTTGGAGGTCCGCTCGGGTGTCTTGGATCCGCGCCGCGTCCTCCTCCCTGGCGCGCGGAGCGCGCCAGGGGCGACGTCGGAGCGCCGCCAGCGGGTTTCGGTGCAGATCCAACAGAAACCGCGCAGAGCTTCCGAAGCGTATGCTTATGCCGCTTGCCTTCTTCAAAGTGATGTCATGATGCGATTCCGAAGTATCTGGCTGCCCTCCTTTCCGAAGCCCGTGCGGAACACTAGGAAGCTCGGTCATCTTGGAACGCACCATTACCGTAATGCCTGTTGGCCTCGGAGCAAGGGACCAAAGCCAGGCTTCGAACAGCCAGTGGCCAGTTGGCCGACGAGCAGCCCAGACCTCCTCTCGTCGCGAAACAAAATTAGATGTTCGCCCCCTGGGGCACTCATGAGGCCCCGCCAGCACTGTTGCTCGAGACGTCTGGGGTAAGCGAGAGCGGTTGCTGTTGAGCAGGCGACTTGCGTGTCTTGAGCGGCCAACGTCTGCGGCGATGCCCGCAGCGATCCCTGCGCAGACCTCACGGCAACCAACTCGGTATTCGTTCTTATTCTCTCAATACCGCCCAATCCGATCGTCCCGACCGTGTGCTGCACATGCAGGGGGGCCTCGTCTGTCCCCTTGCGCCGACTATCCGTAGCACATTCGCGCCGAACCCGTGCCGAAAGCGTTGGAGCAGTGTCGAGCCCACGTCGGGTTCGCGTCGAGCCCGTGTCAAGCCCACGTCGAGAGTGCAAGGACAGACCGCCGCTTGCAAGACGGGACGAAGCGTAGGCGAGGATGCGCAGCCGCCGACCCTCTGCCTGCCAGCTCAGGGTGTGCCGTGGGGGCCGTCCTGCCGCGCACAGCGCGGGAAGGCGGAGAGCCCCAGGGAGATGCCCTGCGCAGCCAGAAACTATACACCGACACCCGACGACGAGCATCCCTCCTACACTCCACCTCCTCCTCCTCCTCCTCCTCCTCCTCCACCTTCTCCTCCTGCTCCTGCTCCTGATCCTCCTCCTCCTCCTCCTCCTCCTCCTCCTCCTCCTCCTCCTCCTGCCATCGTCCTGCTCCTCATCCTCTCTCTCGCACGCGCGGGCGCATCCCGCGATTGCGCGCGCGCGCTGCGCACCGCGCCTGCCAGGCGGCCGCCACGCGGCCATCCCGAAGTCCGAGCTCGTCCCCCCGCTCCCCCGCGAGGAAGCCCGTCGGCGCGGGGCGCAGCCAGCTGGCAGCGCGGCTCTGAACCGAATTGGCTGTGAACCAGCACTGAGATCTGGACGTTGCTCTTTTTGTTTGACGGCGGGCACAAGGGGGAAGGGGGAGGGGGGAAGGCTTCGTAGAGGGAGAATGCTCCTCGGAAGGCGCCGGCCCTACATCTACAAGCACGGCCCGCTCCTTTTAGCAAGCAGGAGTGCTTCTAAGAAGCCTTCCCCCCTCCCTCCCCCTACCCCCCTCTGCGGGTGGCCGAGACGGTACGATTTGTCACATGGCATCTCTTCCCCGATTTCGGCATCTACAGGGGGCCGCTTTCGTTCCGGGGCCTCTGGGCGGCATCTGGAGCCGGAGTGGCCACACACGGAGAAAGAGGAGGGCAGTCCGTGTCCACACCCGTCGGGCGAAGACAATGCAGAACACTGAGACGCCCGATCCGCAGAAACTCCGTGACGCGCCCCCCCCCCCCCTACCCCAAGAAGGTCAAGCACTGAGATGCCTGCAGGACGGTCCTGGCACGCTGCCCCACGCCAGGCCCCGGCATCTTTGAGAGGGGGGTCGGGGGCCAATCGACGCTGTCCTGCTGTCTTGTCGCGCATGCCTTGACACAAGACGCTTTGACACTCTACGCCCTCCCACCAGGCGGAGGGGAACTGCCGGCGTCCACGGGGGGGCGACGAGAGGGGGGTGGGGCGGGGCTTCTGAGCAGGGGGGTCGTCTTCTTGGAAGCCCGCCGGGCTTCTAAGAACCCAGACCCCCGACGTCGCGATTTGTTCACAGCGTCGAACCCCAGAGGTCTCCGCTCAGTGTAGATCGGGCATGTCCCCCTGCAGGCGGATTTTGGACCGAGAATGGAAAATTGACAAGCACGCCCAAGAACAATGAAACAATCATGGAAACATCGTCCCCAGACTGATTGCTCGACTATGCTTAAATCTTCCTCCTGTAGGGGGACGTGCCCGACTGAATCGTAACGCTGACCCCCCGAGAGTCTCCACTCGTTCCTTTGGGACCGGTCTCTCGCCCCGAGTCGCTTCTGACGGCCCCGCGGCCTGGTGCGGGCCCCCATAAATGAAGGGGCCCTGGGACACACAAACAAATACACACAAAGAAAAGGGTTCGCCATATTTTCCTATGTTTTCTGGTTTTTTCCACATATCCTAAGGATTGGGGTTCTTGTTATTACTCTGACGCCTCCCACTCCTCCTCCTTCCTCCCGCCTCCCGCCTCCCTCCTCCCAATGATAATCACCAGATAAGATAAGACAAGATAAGATACTACAATATAAGATAAGCTAGCACAATATATGATAATGTAATATAAGATATATGACCAGGTAGGATAATAGATAATATAAGACAGCCTATGGAGTAATAAGACAAGACAATATATGATGCGATAGTATGAGTTGATATAAGATAAGCTAAGACAAGATATGAGATTTCAAGATAAGATAAGATAAGATAGAGGGAGGTAAGATAAGATAGGACTCGATAAGATAAGATGAGACTCACTCTCACTCAGATTCACTCACAGTCACATTCACTCACACTCACACTCTCTCATGATCACAAAACGCTGCCAGGGGCATCACTTGGGAGCCCCAAGGGGGAGCCACCCTGGCTGATCTCACGAGCCCGTTCGCGCCGATTTTGGTGGGACGCCTCAGCTAGAATTGCCGTTTGGCCCCCCCAACATGTATCTCTTGAGAGCCTCATGGTCACAAAACGCTGCCAGGGGCATCATTTGGGAGCCCCAAGGGGGAGCCACCCTGGCTGATCTCACGAGCCCGTTCGCGCCGATTTTGGTGGGACGTCTCAGCTAAAATTGCCGTTTGGCGTCCCCAACATGTCTCTCTTGAGAGCCTCATGGTCGCAAAACGTTGCCAGGGGCATCATTTGGGGGCCCCAAGGGGGAGCCACCCTGGCTGATCTCACGAGCCCGTTCGCGCCGATTTTGGTGGGACGGCTCAGCTAGAATTGCCGTTTGGCCTCCCCAACATGTCTCTCTTGAGAGCCTCATGGTCACAAAACGCTGCCAGGGGCATCATTTGGGAGCCCCAAGGGGGGAGCCACCCTGGCTGATCTCACGAGCCCGTTCGCGCCGATTTTGGTGGGACGCCTCAGCTAGAATTGCCGTTTGGCGTCCCCAACATGTATCTCTTGAGAGCCTCATGGTCACAAAACGCTGCCAGGGGCATCACTTGGGAGCCCC